CACTTTATTTCCATTTTTTCTTTTCCCTTATTTCCTTTCCCCTACCCTCCCGACTTCCCCTACACCTTTAGCCCTTTTCTTCCTATTTCACATTGTCAATTATACCATTACGATTTTATGTACCATTGTAGTGTTTCACACCAGAGAAACTATTCGGTATTTATACATGTGTGACTTATTTATTTCACTTAGCAGTATATCCTCAATATGTATCCATTTCCTACAAATGACTCTAATTTCTCATTCTTACAGCTGAGTAGTACTCCATTTCCATTTGACCCAGCCATCCCTCTGCTGGGTATCTTTCCAAAAGAATTAAAAGAATCATATCACAGTGACATAAGTGCACCTGTGTTTATAGCAACACGGTTTCTAACAGCTAAAACCTGGAAACAGCCCATTTGCCCACAAGTTGGAGAGTGGGTAAAGAAGATGTGGTTTTTCTATAAGATCAGACCCATTTTAAAGAATAACTGCAAGAATCCAACAAAGACAAGTAAAATAAGCAGTGACCAAGTATCTAACATACATTTAATGCAGAATAGAGGTTCCTTTATTCACTCAATGTTTAAGTCAGCTGACATCCACAAAGAATTTAAAAAAGAGCTGGGCACGGTGATGCACACCTGTAATCCCAGCATTCAGAAGGCTGAGGCAGGAAGATTGCTGAGAGTTCAAAGCCAGCCTGGGCTACGTAGTGAGTTCAAGCCCAGTCTGAACACATAGTGAGACCCCGTCTCAAAAAACAAACAAAATGGATTTAGAAAAGATATTTTGGAAGATGAAAGATGACTAAATGTTGAACATCTTATCACACAGAGTTTCTGAAAACCAGAGAAAGTCTAGAAATTGGGGTGGGGAGAAGGGAAGCAGCAGTGAGAGAGGAGATGTTGAATGGGAGAAGTGTCTCAGTTGTTTTTGTTTTTAAAAGGAAAAGGTGTGTGTCAGCTGGTTGACTTATGAAAAACACTAATTAAAATTTTATTCTTTTTATCCCCATAAAATAAGCAAACGACTTTTAGCAATACCGAGTTTTCTAAAGGCTCAAGAAAATAATTGCCTGTGTCTCACATTAATTGATTTTTAAAATTAGTTTTAGGTTTTAAGTGAGTTTGGGGTTTGCTTTTCCAAATGTTAAGTGACAGAGCCAAATCACAGGTTTGGTCGAGTGACAGCTTCTGATGTATGATGAAAGCCAGAGCACAGGGGAGTTGCTCCTGGTCCTTTGCACTGCTGTCAGTTCAGGCCTCAGCCTCCCTGCTGGACTCAGTTTAGCACAGGGTGAGGACAGTGCCCGATGCCATCTACCCAGCAGGATGTCACACCCCAATTCACTCTTGACTTGCTGGGGTGTCTTAGGAAAGCAGGGACTCTGAGTTCCTTGCTCCCTCTTGCTGATGGAGGGTAGAGGTCATGAGGGCTGATGCTGAATGGTCAGGACAATAGTAACCTTGCAAAATGTTTTGCAAATTTAAATTACCAAATGCTTAGATACATATGAAAACATAGCATTGGTTTTCCTCCCTCCTCGAAAGTAATCATCACCTTGAAGGGGGATTTTCTTTATATCCTTATTGTTTGTATTCTCACTGCTTATATAATCGCAACCAATGTATAGTATTAATTTGTTCCTAAGTTTTATATAAGTGATACCTACACATATGTTTTTATGGCTTAGCCTTTTCACTCAGTACCGTGTTTTGAGATGTATTTATATAGATGCATGTGTACATTTAAATCTATCACTTCATTTTAACTGGTAGAGGGTATTTCTCTATTTGAGAAAGCTTCACTTTATCTATGACTTTATTGATGGATACTAAGCTTGTTTAAAGGTTTTTGTGATTACTAATAAGACTGTAATGAATATCTTTGATCATAACTGCTTTATACATGTGCAAGAATTTCTCTAGGCTGCACATCTAAAAGTTAATTCTTGGAATATAAAGTGTGCATATCTTCAGCATTACTAGATATTGATGAATTATTCTCTGAAGAGGCTGTACTAATTTACACTTCTATTCCTAGTTATGACAGCTCTTACTTTCTCTTCAATGCTTGATGGTACAAGACTCAAATTTTATTCCTAATTGAATTGTAATACAAATGACCACTTTCTGTTGTAATATATATTTTCTTTTTTGCTAACAAGTTTTCACATTTAAAAATATTTCTGGCTGTTTGAATTTCCTCTTCTATAGGTTTCTTGAGCATGTCCTTTGTCAATTTCTCTCTTGTTTTGTTTTTTTGGAATGCATTTGTAGAAAAATATTCTTAATATTCTGGAAACAAATTCTTTGTTGACTACATGATATTGATTTCCATGTTCCTGAACTCTCGGTTATTTTATTGGGCAGACTCAAATGTGAACAGCCAGATATAAACCCTTGAGTTTCCAGGAAAATTCTGAACTGGGTCATCACAGACTTCTACAGCAATATGGCAGAGTGTCCAGAAGTGAGCCTAGGGTTCAGGAGCCCTGGGTTCCAGTTTCTGTGTGGCTCCTGGTTTTCTGAGAGTTCTTAGGCCTCTTTTATGCTCATCTGTAAAATCAAAGCATTAATAGCAGCCTCAAGGACTTTTGTGAGACATAAATGAGATGCATAAAATCACCTTGCAAAATGCTACACAAACACTAGCCATTACTAGTAGCAGCAACCCAAAATGTGTTAGTTTGTTCAGACTGCCATAACAAAATACCATAAACTAGGGGATATTAAACAATCAAAATTGGTGTTCTCGTAGTTCTAGAGGGTGGAAAATCAGATAAAAAGGTGCCAGCATGGTTGATTTCTGGTGAAAGCTTTTCTCCTGGCTGTCAGCCACCTGCCTTCTCATTGTATACTCACAAGACCTCTTCTTTATGTGCAAGGAACATGAGAGAGACATAGGAACAGAAACAAAGACATAGAGTCCTCTGGTCCTTCCTCCTTTACTCAAAAGGACATTAGTCCTAGACCTCATTTAACCTTTATCAGCCTCTCATGGGCCCTATCTTCAAATATAGTTACGTAGTGGTTGGGACTTCAACAGAGGAATCTGGGGGAAGGACACAATTCAGTGCACAGAAGCCATGGTAGCTTGGTGCCCAACCATTTATTCCCAAATAGACTTAAGCCCCTTAATCTTTGCTCAGTACCTGGAGGCACAGACAGGAGTTTCACTAATTTTGTTATCTCTGGCTTGCTCTATTCCAAGACGTCACTGTCATCAAGCCAGCGTTTGACCATTTCTGTGACTGTCATGCATAAGGAACAGCCTGATTTTCAATCATTTCCCCCTGTGGCACCAGTATAACTCTGATTACAAAGAAACTAGACTAGCTCTGCCCAATTGAACTGTGATGATAGAAATATAAAATGTTCTGTAAAGTCTGCTGTGTCCATTAATGTCACCATAGCCACATGTGGCCACTGGGCATTTGACAAGTAACTACTATGACTGAATCTTGTTCATATAATTTACTTTTAATTAATTCATATGTACATAGCCCACTGAGGGTGACAGCTACTGCCTCAGTGGTGCAACATTCGACCTTTGTTCTCCCCAGTTGTGAAGTGAATGCTCTAGCAGCTGCTTTTTTTCCCTTTACTGTGACATTCTTGTCCCCAGACTCTGTGCATTCATGCCTGGTGTGCCCCTCTTATATAACAGGAATATATATGAGGACAAAAAAGGAAATGAATGGAAAACTTGGAGGTCGCATAGGAATCTTGACCCCATGTATGGATATGCAGGGACTGGAGCTTTGGAAATCAGAGAAATGGCACATAATTAAGGACTAGTGCAAAGTAAGTAAGGAAAGAATTCTGCAAGAAACTCCAAAGAAAAATAGCATATACCCTAGCATACACCTCAAAGGTCAAGCATTTGGAAAGCATCAGGTTTTTACTTTTCCTATTTTTCTTTTACTTTCAGGAAATCTGTGAAATAATCCTTAAGTATAGAGGGTTTCTAGACTTATGATGGAGAGGTTCCTTTGCAACCACTCTGAACTAAAATTCAGCAGGCCTGAAATGAGAAGAGGAAAAAAGTAGCCACTTGTTACTTCAAAAGGTTTTAGCTTTTAAAATGATTTTTTCTTGGTCCCAAATAGGAGCAGCTCATAGTGGAGGATAGGGGGTTCAGACTACTCAATCATCCTCAGCTGTGAAAAGAGCAGCAGTGGACCCTTCTCAGAAATCTCCCCTTTCTTACCGCCAGCCCTGATTAGTGTACCCAAGGAAGGATGAGAAATGCAAGCTCCCGGAGCATCAGAAACCAAGGACAACCAGTTTGCATGAGCAAAGTGCCCCCTCGGACTCCTCATGGAAAGGGTGTTTATGGAAAGTGTGACTGAATTATTGGTCCAAGTAGAAGACAACATGGCCCAAATCTGCTCCGGAAAAACAGGCTTTAAAAATATCAGCTTTTAGGGCTGGGGATTTAGCTCAATGGCCCTGAACCTGCTTCCTGAGTTCAATCCCCAGTACTGAAAAAACAAACAAACAAACAAAAATAAAACCCAGCTTTTTTATAATATGTACAGCTTTTTTTCCCCATAAAAGAATATTTAACGGCATGGATAAATATTTATAATATAAAGCAAACTCATTTTTTTCTTCAATCATGTTGAAAACTTTACATAGGAAAATCATTGGAATATATCAACATTTCAGGTAGTTATCTCATTTTCAATTATCTTCTTAGTGAATTTGTTTTGGATTTTCAACTTTTCTAAAGTGTACATTTATTTATGTGATGACAAAAACAAATATAAAAATGCTCAGGATTATTATATTCTGTTTATATTTTGCAAAGTGTTCATTTTCCATTGTGAAATTTTTATCTTTGCTTCCTTCATGACATTTCTATAAAATGATTCTTTTCTGAGAACTGATTAGAATAAACACAATAATGAGACTTTTAAACTTTTTATTTTCTAATTGACAAACAAGATTGTATGTATTTAGGGCACACATGATGTTTCAAAATATGTATAAGTTGCAGAATGGCTGAATTAAGCTAATTAACTTATGTGTTACATCACATACTTATCAATTTTTTGTACTGAAAACAAATGAAGTCAATTCTATTAGCAATTTATCAGTACACAAGGCACTGTCATTAGCTATAGTCATAAAGTGTTCCAAACCTTGAGAGCTAGTTTTTCTAACGCTGAACCTCAATTTTCACCCACTGCCCTCTCCTTGGCTCTCTCCTGCCACTCACACACTCCCAAATTGTATTTACTGTGCTCATGCTTGAGCAAATGCCTTTGTGTGTCTGACAACACAGGCGTCAAATTATGAAAACTGTCTATTGTGCTCAGATCAATAGGCCAAACCCACACTTACTTTCAGCTCAGAAAAAGCTTTCTACTTCTCCCTCCCCCAGAGGCCTTTAACATCTATGCCAATAACCATCAAACCAGGACCAAATGTCCCAGAGCTGAAGCAAGAAGGTGGGACAAGAGCCAGGGGACTGGGTCCAACCTCAGGTAACTTGTCAGAGTCTTGCATGTTTGCAGGTCTCAAAGAGAGCTTCCTTCTCCAAAGCCTCCATTCCTCAGAAATGCCACCTATCCACTCTTCCTTCCCTCCAAGGACACTGCTGAGAGCCACCGTGTGCTCTTGCCCTTCTTGTCCTGTGTCACTGTGGCTCCCCAAGACAGTGTCAGGACCCAGATCACCACAGTGACACAATCTGCACCCACACCACAAAGGAACAAAGGTTGTGGGAATCAAGATGTCTTTTCCAATGTCTTGTTCTACCCTTAGTATTCTTTCAGTGGACCCAATGCATTGTTATTCTTCACCATGCATCCGGCTTCCAGTCTGAGAATAGCAAAAAGAGGCCAGGTTTGCACAGCACTTTACAACGAACCACGCAATTTCCCTAGCATGGATTTTAGTAACCACCACACCCCTCTTCTGTCCCACTTTGACTGCTCGGCCTTGGGAAAAATCACTTAACCTCTCCCAGCCTCTGTTTCTCATTCATGGTGATCATAATAGAAACAGGCCTCATATAGGTACTGCAGTATTTGATACAGATAATAAATATATTATGTCCTTAAAGGGGCACCTGTTGAATTTGACTCCTTGCCGCTATTAAAATTTAGAGCAAGGAGTGTGGTAGAACTGTTTTCTCACCACCTCATCTCTCACCTTGAGAACAACAAATCATAACAGGCTTCACACTATCCCTGGTGGCATTGGGGCATGTCTTGCACCTATAAATTTGAAAAAAAGAAAAGAAAAAATGTCACTTAGGCTGCAACATAGAAAGTCTAAGCAGCAGCACTTAGGGGTGTGCTGCATCTCAATTCAGCCCAACCTGGGCATCTCTTACATTTCCCCTTCCCCCCATTGCTTCTCTCTCTAACCTACTTTACAAACTCACCTGCATGACCATGTGGGTCCCTCACAAAGTCCACTCTCATGGATCCCATACAGCCTGTATTGTCAACAAGGACTCCTTAGTCTTTAAAATCCGAGCTGTCCTCATCTACCCACAAAGTCACAGACCAGAAGACCTTCCAGGTTTTAATATCACAGTGAAAAGCAATGGCATCTGAGGAAGACAGGAGGAACCAGGTCTCACCTCTGAAATCATGTCACCATGGAGGTAAACAAGCAGCTGCACTATGTTTTCTTTGGAAGATACCACACGTCTCCTTCCCTCCTACTATCCTCACAGGCTTTAGCGGTGACTCTCCAATGAGTCATTGTTCATCCTTTCTGTCGATTCTAACCCTGTGTAGGTCCTACCAGTCAAAATGCTAATGCCTGGGACATGCTGAGCAGGACTGTGTCCACCTACTGGTGACAAACAGGGAGAGACCCTCAGAAGGAGCCCAGCAAGGGACAGCTTGCTTCAGGCAGTCAAGAGAAAAAGAAGAAGAAGAAAAAAAAAAACTAGGCAAAGAAAGACGCTTTTAAAATGAAAAACAGTGTATCTGAGTGTAGAATTTTTCTGAATTATCATTGCACTTAGAAAGTTTAGAAAGAATTCTTTCCTAAAAGGCTTGAATTTAAAACATCAGATTCAGATGTACAAAAAGGGGATGCAGGGAAACCAAGTAGCACAACATAATCATGAGTTGTAGAAAAATTAGGTATTTTTAATTGGACAAAGATTGGATGTAACTTAGTTTTTATGGAAGTCTGGCCACAAGCAATGATTTTTACAACTCAGTCTACAAGCCCCCAGAGCTCAGGGGCCTATGTATATTTACTCCTACAAAGACCCATTTTACTGATTGCAGAGCTGCAAGGGCAGAGAGCTATTTTTCCCCACGCATATGTTGATATGTAGAAAAGAGTACAGCACCACTCAGTACAAGCCGGCCTATTGAAAACTCGTTTCCTGTCAATCTTGGCCCCACCACACACACACGAAGCTTTAATTATTTTTTTTGCCACAGCACTTTCTGCATTTTAGTTTCCTGCAAACCTCAGGAAATAGACTGAAATTAATATCGTCAGACGCTTCTGAAAGTGCTGGCTTGGCAGCATTGCTGAACACTCTCAGATGCCATTTTGGGAGTAAAATATACCAGTTATGCCCCATTGTTTGTGTGCGAGATCTGGGGAAGGGATTGTGCATGATTGGACCAAACTGAAATGTAGGTTAAAAAAATGAGGAATAGAAACTTGAACTTTCAGAATAGACAAAGCCAGCAGGTAAACAAACTAAAGCAGCAAGCTAAGAAAATGCTTTCAGCGATTCCAGCCACAGCTGAGCACCCTATCACTGTGGAAACTGAGGTAGGAACACCTCGCTCTTGGTTTCTGTGCAGAATTTTAAAGCTTTGGGTAAGACTAGAGACTCCAGGTCTGACTCCAGAGAGAAACACAATGTATCACAAGAAATAAAAAGAGGTAGAGAGGCTATTTATTAGATTTTAGTATGTTGAGGGAGAGAGCACCAAATGCTATATTCTCTCGTAGCTCACTGGTCCTGTGAAGCCCAGCTCAGGAGAGAGACTGGCTTAATCTGCAGTGTCAGATTACCACGGACCTGGTACTCCAGGCAGCTCCCTGTCTCTTCAGACAACATTTCTCTGTTCATCTAGTAGAAAGAGATGACGCACACCTCACTTCACTGAACAAGGGCATTGCAATGATAAACTTGCAATGACTATATAAACATGCTTTGGGTTTTTGAGGGAGAAAATGTGACATGAATCCAAGTTATTTTTATTATTGTTGGCTTCTGCATCTATGACTTCTTAAGAGTGTGAGTTGAGGCCACACACTATTCCTGTGTCTCTAAGCATTTATTCGGATGTTTTGTAATACTGAAGAATATTGTCTTTTTTTTTTTTTTACATTCTTTGTATTTTTATTCCCCTTCTGGATCAGTCAACCACACCTTCTCTACATAACATAGCCTCCATCCAACTGATCTGACAGACATGGTGATTTCACAACCAACCCCCTTTCCACATCTCTATTTCTCAGGTTCAAGTTCTCACTATTTTCTGCCTCTCCAAGGGTAACAAGCACATCACTGGCTTTCCTGCTCTGGACTCTCACTTTTGCAGCCAGCCTCCACATTTCCACCTGCCCTCTTCCTAATACATTGGTCAGATTATCAATCCATTGAGCTGATGATCAACCAGACACCTTCTAAAAAAACACATATCTTCAAAATAAGAGTGCTGTTCCCAGAAAAGCTAAGTGATCCACCTGTCTAGCCAAGGGTAGAACTGCACTAGAAGTATCCACATCACCTAACACCAGCTTTAGACTACTAATTATCATGTTGAGAATAGAGCTGGGCTAGAACTGAAATTCCTTCTGCCAAGTCTAATCTGTCAATTAACAGGCTTTAGTGGTTCCAATACCTGAGAGCATAAACTCAAGAATCAAGCACCGAAGTGGTAAATGCAACTTCGTATAACTGAGAGATGGGTATAAATGCTTGTTCACTCTTCTCATGCAACAAGAAGTCAGGAGATAGTATTAGAAAGCAGAGCTGCTGTTGTAGGAAGTCACCACAGACCTGGTTCTTTGGCACCCCTTGTCTGTCCTCCCAAACAAGGGCCTTTGCTTCAAGGTCACAAGATGTCTGATCTATCTTTATACCTTAATTTTACTACCATTTTCCCCAAAACAAAAAGATATATTGGAAAAGAATGAGCTTTGCAAACTAGAGATCACAACCTTCCATCACTATTCTCTTCCTCAGTGTCTATTCAGTAAGGCAAGAGTAGACAGATTACTCTAAGGCAAGACTGGGGCTGGCATTTTTATCTCTAGTTCTCAAGGCTTATTATTTTCTAGTTAGGTCTTACTTTTCAGGAAACATAGCATTAGACAGGAAGATGGAAAGAGAAATAAAGGGCCAAAAATATTGGACCAGCTGAGTCCCTCTTATTAGTCATACAACAGTTTCCCCAGAACTTTGCCTAGTTGATGTTTGCTTATACACTGTAGGAAAGGACCACATTACATGATCCTCTCTAGCTGCAAGGGTACCTTAGGTCTTTCATAGTTTTAAATGAGCATATGCCACTCTGAAAAGAATGCAAGTTTTGTTACTGTGTTAATCATTTTCCCATTACTATAACAAATACTGGAGATGATCAACTTGTAAAGAGAAAAGGTTAATTTTGGCTCACAGTTTTGGAGGTTCCAGCCCATGGTGAATTGGTCTCATTGGTTTGGGCCTGCATCAAGGCAACACATCAGAGTGAGAGCATACTGGGTAGAAAAACTATGTGGCAAAGCAGAACAGCTCAGTGCTAAAGCCAAATATTACAGCTCAGTGTCACAGCCAAGTGTCACAGCTCTGAACCATAGCCAAGTGTTACAGCTCAGTATTACAGCTCTGGGGTGCAGCTACTGCAATTTGAACAATTCAAGAATCTGAAGGTCACCCCAAAATGTGGAGAAAAACCTTTTTTATGCCCTAGTGGGCTCAGAAGAATTTGTACTCCAAAGTTGGAACACTTCACCAGAAATGGGAGCCTCCATCTCCAGGGTGGGGTAGCTGGGCAAGTTCACTGAAGCAGATGAGTGGAGTTAACAGAACATAGTAAGGGGGCGGAATTAAAACATTCCTGAGAGGTCATGAGGTTCATACAGTTACAAAATATTTGGATACATTGGGAAGAAGCACAGCAGTACAAACTATTACATTTCAGAACAAAACATTTTGTGGGGGGAAAAACACGGAGGCAAGGGCAAGGCAAGGACCTGCCTTATTGTGTATTATTTCTCCATCAAAACCACTCACCTGGGCTAGGATTTAGCTCAGTGGTTCCTCCACCTGCCTTGCTGCCTTGCAAGGGCAAGGACCCAAGTTTGATCCCCGGTATAAAAAACAAACAAACAAACAAACAAACAAAAAAAACCTCACCTCCCAAGTCAGGGAGCCAGAAGAATTGAGGGCAACAAACCCTCAACTCTCTTCAAATTCATCTCCCACATTTCAAAAGTTCTACCACCTACCAGTAGTGGTAGACCACTCTGGAGACCAATCCTTTAATCCATGCTCCTTTAGAGAACAGTTCCCCAAGCTATAGCAGTAAGGATGAAGAGGAGAAAGAATACTGAACAGGCACCTGGCAGTTTCAGCCCCAAACACCATAAAGCTGGTTGTCAGCTCTTTATGTTTTAACCGTAACTCACTTTCTATTTCCCTTTCTTCTGCCCCAACTATTCACTCAATATTCCTACCACCCTAGCGGTCTCCACATCTTCCCAAGAATGTGGCACACTTCTCTCTCTTTTGGCTTTTACCCACCTCTCTGCCCTCTACTTCTTTAAGACCCAACTAAAATAATTCTCTGCTTTCCTTAGTGTTCAAAATTAACCTCCAACTTTGGTATTCTGCCATAACATATTATATTTACATCTATTAGAGCACTAATCCCATCCCACTTTGAATTATAATTTGCCCTACATGTATCTCATTTAGCAGAATAAGCTTCAGAAAACAAGGATTATAACTTGTCTATCTTTCTAACCAATACAAAAGTTAAAAGTCCGTGGGTCCCATAGTGAATGCTTATAATTACAGAAAAATTTTACTGCTTTGTTTGTATGGCTAATGATGAATCAAAATACACATCTCATAACAGTGTGTAAATTAAAGGATGGTCACCACCCTCTCCTTGGAATAGTCCAATATTATCCTCTTAGAGGCAAGAATACAGCCTCTAGAATTCTTTTCCAACTTGTGGACTCTACAGTGGCGTGAACACCAACAGGACAGGCTCCA